CACTTTCTGTCTCTATGTCTCTCTCTGACTGTCTGGCGAGCGCATGTGCCCTATAGCAAAAACCTATCCAAAAAAAAAAAAAACCATTTTAGGGGCCAGCAGGTGGCATGGTGGTTAAGGTGCTGGACTCCCCCATGGCTGACCACGGTTTGAGTGCCAGACCCGGCAGCTTGCTTTCTTGCTTTCTCTCTCTCTCTCTCTCTGGTCAAGTTGAAGAATAATAATAAATAAATAAAATTAAATAAACAATTGTAGCAAAATTATTTTAGATGTAGCTCTGATATGTCTTCTTCCTTCTCCTCCAAACTTAAATCCAGTGGAGATCTCAGACTCAGCGCCCCCAACGCCACCGGTGAAAGACGTCACCAAGAGGTTCTCCACCCCGGACGCTGCCCCGGTGTCCACAGAACCAGCCTGGCTGGCTTTGGCCAAAAGGAAAGCAAAGGCCTGGAGCGACTGCCCACAGATTATCAAGTAAAGAGCGGCTCTCACCCATTCCTATGGCCGTCCTTGGCTCCTCTCTCGCCCTGTTTATTTATTTATTTTTTATAGAAGGTAAAGAAACCAAGCTAGGGAGAAGCATGTTTTATAGGCTCTGAAACCATGTTTAGAAATGGAACTGGTGGTGTTCGTTGTAAAGAGTGTATTTGCACAACTGTAGGTCCTGGTGCCTTGAGCTCTTCTTAGTTCTCAAGAGAAAATTCCATCCAAGGGACCACATGAAGCGAAATCTCCAAATTGAGGACTCATGAGAGCCTGCCATGCCCATCCCATGGCCCTTCACACATCTACACCCACGCACCGCTCAGAACACGTACTTTTGCCAATCTTTGTAATGGTGTTTTGATTCTCTTCATTTCATTTATTCCGAACCTTTACCCTACCATATGTTTGGGGGTGCCTGCCCTTTCTGCAGGGATGGTGGAAGGACTGTGTATGGACAGAAACAAGGACGCCCGTTCTCCCGAATGGAGCGAGGAACGGCTATTGCAAGGAGCAGTCCGGCCCCAGCTCCATGGCCATGCCTGCGGCTCCCGGGGTTTTCCTGCCCGCGGCAGAAGGCAGAGCCACTCACTAATTCCACAGTGTGGGTCCAAGCGTGAGGCCGTCATCACCAGTACCCGGCTGAGGGACGAAAAGCATTCGGCCCGCTGGCGCCCAGAGAACATTTGCCACGTGTTGCAGAGTAACTTCCACATGAGGCTGTGGGCTCTCGTTCCAGCTGAGAATCCCCGTCCAGTGCAGTGGTTCTGAAGAGATCCACACTCCAGCCAGGCCTGCTGACTCAGAGCCAGTGCGCATGGGCCAGGAGGGTCTATTCGGTCAAGTATCCTGCAGGTCCACTCTCTTGTACTCCGAAGGTTAAGGACCTTGAGATCCATCATTCTTGCTTAGCTCTTTTTTCAGACTCTGTAGGGGAAGCTTGTTTGCTCAGAGATGCAAAAGTGAGACAGGAAAAAATACCACCACCAAGTCCTCCCCCAAACAGTCATTTTAGTTCAAGATAACCACACGTTAGTGACATGACGTGTCTGAAAATTCCCTTTGGTCTTTAGGGAAAATTAACAGGAAGCCAAGATTTGGAGCCTTAGTACCATGGACTTCCTGCAGTAAGTTTTTTTTTTTCTTTACTATAATTGAGTAGTTCATATTTACAGTGAAACATTCAGTAGCATTTATAACGTAGAGCATTCACCTTGCTACCTTTAAGAAACATCTCAGAGTTTTAAGTGGCCTTGTATTACCACACATACATGCATACGAAGAAGGGACTTGGCAACTTCAAAGCCACGTGTACGTACTTGTATTCCTCTGCATTTGCTTTGCGTGAAACATGGACCAGCAAAGCCACACGTCCCTGGTACCAAGTGTGTTTTTCATGTTGGCATGTGCCCATGTTTTAGATCCTTACTCAAAAATTTAGGTACAAATCCTTTGCCTAGTACAGGGGGATTATATCCATTTTCCTCTCTTACAAGAACACGTTTTATTAGTCTCCATCATTACTTTCCTTTATGCTCCACTCAATATGCAACATCCTTGTTATTCTGTCACCTTAAAGAAGACAGAAAAGCTGCTTCCTGTAAAGAAACCGTTTCTTTCTAGAAACAGTCCCAACCTAGCAGCTGGTATGTGTGGCCAAGTGGAGAGCTGTACAAGTTGGATTTCATGGTATATATACTGAACCATCGGACTGTTAAGAATCAATGTCACTGGATTTTTTTTTTTTCTGCTATGGGAAGCAATTAATACTCTATTGCAGATTTTCCACCTCGTTGTTCATTTCTACATCTCTCATGTAGGCATTTGTTGGTTCCAGGTGATTTCCTCGATAATATAACACTGTTTAATGGGAATCTTTCCACCTCGAGCCTGGAATTATAGTGCTACAATCCTTCAGAACCGACTTCTTTCATCCTATTGGCTGTGGACAGTTTCACAGTCGTGGCAGGGAACAGGAGAGGGAATATTAACATTAGTGAAGAACGGTGGCTGAGGCAGCCCTGTCCTGGCTCAGCCACCACTGAACCTGTATGCAGTAGGAGAAATACCTCGGAAAAAATTTCTCATCCAAGTCTTTACGGAAGAGTGTACTGAGAGACAGGGAGTCCCAGTTCTCGCTCCCAGAGAATTTCTAAAGGTACATGTTTAACATTTCATTGAAGAGTCACCCCAGATTTGCACTAAATACCAGTGAAGTGTTATTTTGCTTTAGTTGCGTTGCAGTCTTTTCTGAGCAACAACTATGGGGAAATTCTGTAAAAACAAAAAGTACAAGACTGTTTTTGTTTGCTAATAATTGCTACATTAAATACACAAGCTTTTTTTAAAAACTTAAAAACATATACACATATTCCGGCAAAGTTATAATTAATCTTTGTTCATGGACTTCTATATAAACCTAGAGTTTTGTTTACGTTTTTAATTTTTCAAGTGCAATTGTTTCTTATACCAACATATTACTATTAAATTATCATTTTAGCCAGTTATCTGCAAATGTATAGTATTGTCCCTTCTTGTGACATTTAGTTTAATTGCTTATTTTAAAGCAGAAACATTAGTTATAAGTGCTTGCAATATTTTTACCAACAATAAAATTAAGTAGAGACTTGATGAAAATATCTTAGTGTAATTTTAATATTATTTTGGTTGTATGAAGTTTTAATGTATAATGTCCACCGTTGAAGGGAAATAATCTTTCAATAAAAAAAAAAAAAAA